TTATTTCAAAGAAGGTAGTTAAACCATCAATAATAATAATAATAATAATAATAATAATAATAATAATAATAATAATAATAATAATAATAACAAAAACTCAAGTTTTTTCAAAATAAAATTCAGAGTTTTTCTCCTTCACTTAAATTTTTCATCGAAAACAAACAAACAAGCAACCAAACAAAAAAGTCGAAAAAATACTTGGCAACGAAAAAATTCCAAATAAAAACTGTAATTTAACAAGTTAACATAGAAACTAATCACTTGATAATTTATCAAATGATTGAAATCGATATATTATAATTTACAAAAAAAACATCATTACTGACAGGTGAATATAAATAACAGAATGGTTTTTTTGTGGATATTATAGGTAATTTGAGTTGGTTGAGATCATAAGTCAATTGAAGTTAGATCACTATGGAAAACCTGGAAGTACTGGATCGTCGTTTCATCCTATTGTGGGACTTTTTTAGTAGTGAGCATCCACGATCCCTCCCCTCGCGAGATTCGAACACAGGACCGACCAATTTTGTGCGTGAGCGTCTAACCATTATACCACTGAGCCGGCATTTAATGGTGTTATAAATAACATGTGAATAGTGCTTACAAATAAAATATAAAATTTTGTTGTTTACAAAAAATTATGAACCGATCAATGTTAAATTATTATCGTAGAATGATTGAAGTTAAAGATTAACACAATTGGATACTGAGTCAGTAGTCAGGCGTTTGCGCGCGACATCCAAGGTTCTAGGTTAGATTCCTGTGTGCGAGGTCGTAGATGTACACTGCTAAGGAGTCTCATACTAGGACGAGATGCCTATCCAGTGATTCAAGGTTTTCAGTGACGGTTTGAAATTGTTCGGTTCAGGATTTTAATAATTGCTAAAGTATTAAACGGAGGTTAGTGTTCAAGCATAATGTTTATAAGGTAGTAATCCATTAATTAGATTAGATGGCATTAAAAAAAAGAATGAAAACTGAATGTGTAAACTATTGGATTTCGTTTCAGTGGTCTAGAGGTTAAGCGGTCGGTGTGAGACCCTTATGTCTTGGGTTTAAGCTATGATGGAATAATGGATGTACACTGTTGATGGGTCCCGTAATAGCTGTTTAGTGCTTCATAATTTTTCCATGATTATCTAACTAACATCAACTCATAATGTGAGATATTAAACTGATTGTGCACATTGACATTTATCATTTAATAAATATCATTAATTCTAATTGAAACTTATTGATGTACACTAAATAATAATCAACATTGTGATCCATCTATTTGATGTTAAACAATTCAAAAAGGAATTCTCAGAAAAAAAAGATTTATGTTGTTTAGGATTTGCGGACATGACGTACTTTTAATATTCAGAGAACTGATGTCATTTTGCACCGCATTCAGTAATGTTATTCACTGCTCGGTTGACCTGCTGTAGGACTGAGATGGTTGCATTAATAAATATACCACTCATCATTTTTAATCGAGAAATATAATTTACACAGATTGAAATACCTTAATTTATATTCAAGATTGTATGGAAACCCGTTACTACAAAAAGTGGTTGTGCCGTTAAGAGAGTATGCAGCTACTTTAGACTGGCTTGATAAAAAGACATTTTCATCATACCTCATGAAACAAAGTATATACGATGCTAAAATTATTGGACTGTTTTACATAAGACTTGAAGTCACTGATTATCATTTACAGTGGAGGTGATGGTCACAATGATCACAGGTGAGAGATGGTGATGGACAACTTGACTAGTTGCAAACTTAAGGTCCGAGGACGAATTCGTAATGTGAAAAAGTTATTTCCCATAGAACCAGAATCTTCAGAGATACAAAGTTAGGAAGGGTGGTTCCCAATAACACTTAATCCCACCTTCCTCCCACAGATTCCTGTTGAGGATGCTGTTTTCTGACTACCAAGAAGTTGAATGGTTATCAATCTGGTGGCAAATAATTAAAAATGCTACTTAGAAAATATTTTGCCAGATAACTTGTTTCCGTCCGAAAAGAGGAATGAAAAACATTAGACTAATAATCATTCTGACTTTCGTGTCACCTGGTGCCTATGCACTCAACCGACACTGAACGAGTTATCGATTGAAGTATTTCAGAAGATAAAGCATACTACGAATCATCATTGTGAAGCTATGTGTGATTTACAACTAATGAATCGCATGTTTAAAACCCAAAGTTGTAACAGTAGAATAGTATTACAATACAGTGTGAATTCAATGTAAAAACCCTCACATGTCACTTCTTATTGTTCTCTCTAATATTCAATAGCTAACTGGGCAAATAGGAGGAATAAATCTCGTTGATAAGTGAGTGGCTAGTTAAATTTGCATCTTTCATATGCTTGCACTGCAAATGACTTTTTAGTTTATCCATGTGTCTAATAATTTGTAAATATATACACGTCATTTTATTAGAAAAATGTATTCCACTCCCAGATCATGGTATTTTAATGAGATCATTTGATTTTTAAGAACTTGATCCAATAACTCGATTTCATGAGCTAGTTAAGTTGTAAAATATTTATCAAATATATGGAAATATATCTACTAAGTTTTGAGTTACACTTTGAACGTGAGATCTAATCAGATAAGCCACTTGTGCATGTTTCTTGAATGAGACCATTTTGGTTGGAATCTAAATAGCTTTAACGATTAATTCATTACTTTCAGGATTTATCAGTTGACTATATCGTTTCATTAGGTATCATTTAGCAATCTTTATTCTCCGTATCATTTCAACGATCAAAGATGTATCAGAAGGGGTTTTGTGGAGATTGTAGTAATTTCAACAGTTTAGATCATGAGTCAACTGTAGCTAGACTATCATGGAAAACCTGGAAGCACTAGACGGTCATTTCGTCCTAGTATGGGACTCCTCAGCAGTGCGCATCCACGAACCCGCCCTTCGAGGGATTCGAACCCAAGACATTAACACCATTGGATGCCGGCTGTGGTCTAGTTGGTTAAGCGTTTGACGCGAGACTGATAGGTCCTGGGTTTTAATCACGCGGGGGGTGGGTTTGTGGATGCTCATTGCTGAGGAGTCCCATACTAGAACGAAACAGCCGTCTAGTGCTTCCAGGTTTTCCATGATGGTCTAGCTTCAATTGACTCATGATCTCAACTGTTAAGATCAAAGATGTGTTCAGCAACATCATCATAATGACATCTTGAAAATTGCACCTCCTACTTATTATATAACAATATTGAATTTAGTATAAAACAGAAATACGAAAGTAATTTTTATATCACTAATAATGTATAACGTAATACAGCAATTAAAGGTAACTTTTATTAGCGCTAAAGCATTGTGTTTCAAAGATAAACATATATAAATATACACTACGATGAATTAAGTGTTTGAACACATAAACTGTAATTGTTTTCAATGATTGAACCTTCTATTTAGTATATACAAGGCACAAACTGTTGCATATATATGTGTAGATATGCGTGTGTGTGTATGCACATTCATTCACAGAATAATAAGCACAAAATACACAGCAGTACTGTAACAAAATGCATAAATATACAAAATACGAATATGCATAGACTGTGCGCACGCATGTGTGTGTAAGTATGTGTATGACTTGGACAAAATCATACAATTCACCAATAACAGTCAATAATAATTGATATCCCACAGTAACAGTAACAAAATACATCTTTATTAAATAGAGATAGATGACTTCTACCGAATTCTGTTCACTTCATATTGGGCGTTATACATATATATGCATGTATAGATTATTTGTCAAACACAAGAGGGCAATTAATTTATTGGGTTTTCTTCACATTTTTTTTACAATATTATCATTATCATAATCATCAACAATACAATTAAATCAAAAAGAAAAATTTATAAAATTTGTAGGAAAAAAAAGAAAGTAACCCTCATTAGTATGTACTATAGCAACTTGTGCTGGGTGCATGTGTGTGTATGTATGTGCAATATTGTTTTGTCAAATGATTACTTTATAGATATATATAATTATGATAGAAACAGTAATGGTAAAAATAATAGTTCAAAATGTGTATTTGGCAATATTAGACAAAGTTACACAAAGAAGATCGAGACAAAAACAACAACACAAGTGAAATTTCACAGCTGACCTTTCAACAACAAAAACCCATTTATTGTAATTGTCATTGTTTAAGGTCAATATTTAGTCTTTATTAGTAAAATGTAATCAACCTGAGTTGAATAGATCATTTGGACTGATCCAATTTTTATATATATATTTCCTTTTCTTATATCATGTGGATTATAGTTTTATTATTATTTTACTAATTTGTCAATCAAGTCTAATTCAGATTGTATTAAAGAAAGACAAGTAGATTATATGTATTAATAATAGTAGTAGTGATAACATTCACTACAGTAACATACATGTTGTTGCCAGGACAACAAAAACAAATCTTGAAGCAACATGATTATGACTGGAATGCAGTAATTAAGGCAACTTGTTTTTTTCTTCTTCTATTATCGTTATCTTTCATCAACAAATTCAATAGTTATTAAGTAGTAGTTATGATTTTGTTTGTTTTTTTAATGGTTAATTAACAAGTGACAATACAAATTCCCTGAACTGATATATATATATATATAACATTAGTTTTGCTATTTATAAATGTGTTCGTCACTGGTCTCCATGTCACTAAACTGGAGATTCATACTGTATAAATAAATTGAATTTTCTGGAAAAGGAGCTTCCAAAATTTTCATTAGAGGGTAAACCATTAAGGGAAAAGGTCAACAACACTATGGAAAGATATTAGAAAATTGTAAGGAGATAGTTAAAACGGAAATACACAAGAAAGTAACGTTTGGAAAAAAAATGTAGAATAAGTATGACGTAACGACATAGATTTAGGTTAGATAAGCGATTTACAGCGTATATTTTTTATGCAGCCAATTGTTTTATTATTCGTTCATACATAAACAATTAAATAGTTGTTGTACATAACATATAATTCATATTAAACACGATAACCATTTTGACGAGCACGTAAATACTCTGATGCATGCACACTATATTTTTCGCTACGATATCTAGTAAGCCGTATCGATTGTCGAAATGCCTCACTTATATTACCACGGTAACCACCTTTTCGAAGAAGAGAATCAATGGTTTCGCAATGATTCCAACCTTTAAAAAAACAGGCAAGACTGATAGATTAATGATGGATATACAGTAGAAAAAATTAAAGAGGGGGATATATGGCACGACTTTCGATCATTGTACTTCGCAACGAGAAACTATTTTGTTAGGTAAAAATTCATGAAAAGCATAACGTAATGCTTGTTTTTCATGCATAACGACATTGTAACGTTTGTTCATGAACCAACAAGACTAAGACTCCCACGACGCGGCAACAATTAACATGCGAACTTTAGTAAATGTTTAAAATAAATGTACGGTTTCTGCCCACAAATGCCCTGGTACGGCCGAGAGTGGAGAAAGTCAGCTCTCCCGCTCCAAATACTCTCACATGGCCACGTGCATACAACCAATCCCAGGGAAGACCTACTCACTACCTTCTGGTGGCAGCGGTGTTGTTTACGAAATTGAGCGGACGAAAAGCGAATATCCGACGCTTTAACCGGGCTGGTGGACACGAAGAGTCTACCTAGGGGAGTTGGGAAACCCTGATTCTAAACCAATGGTGTACATGAGCTCCAGGATCCTAAGGAAACAAATGGATTATGAACCAATTATTGACCATCGGCAGCCATGAGACTGCGTTGCTTCACTGCCTTGTGGATCAGACCTTTAGGTCAAGGGTCCGGGATGTGCCCCTCTAAGAAAATCACCTGCTTCAGATTGGGAAACCGAGTAGTATCCCAGCCCTTACATAAATTGAATGATTTAGATGGCGCATATCTGTTTGGTGCCTCTTTGTACCAATGTTTATGTGTTTAAATAAATAAATAAGCTCTGAACAAATAAAAACAGAAAAACTAGGGAATAACGGATATTTATCGAGAACCAGGAAGAGCACGGTTATTATTTTGAGGATCTGGACTCCCTTAATTTCATAACTTAGTTGTTATTCCATGAAATTTTAGAGGCCGTAGACAACGGTTAAACATAGATGAAGCCTGGACTATAGTTATGTGGCGCTGTATGAAACTACATCAGAAATCACGAATCGTCTGAAAATAGAACTTGGAATTTATGAAAGAAATTAATGTATTCCTGATACAACCAACGGCAATTCACATCCTTTATAGAAATCAAAAATTGTACAAAGATTGAAATGTGTAAGATGGTAGACTGTAACTAATAATCATTGAAAAATGTAACAACTTTACAACTGATAGCATTGTATATACATAATTTAGCGTACCTATAGCTCAGTAAAATACAGGTCATAATTAATAAGTTATAACAGTAATAATTGATTATTTCACCTGAATATCAGGCTGAAGATATTAGATCTGTTCAGACATCCCACCTTTGTCTGATACGATTTACAGATGTACAATTCTTAACATCCATAAGCAATGAATCTACAGATGAAGTGGATGTGATGGCCTGTGCATTATTAAATAAGGAAAGTCAGGAGGGGAATTGTTAACCATACAAAATCAGTTAAACCCTAAAACATGTAATAAATCGACTATGAGACTTTTTACTGAAATGCAATACAAGTGCTTAGCTATCTCTCAAAGTTCGAAAAAGTTTGAACCTCACCTTGTTTGTAAGCAACTTCAGGCAAATACGTAGCAGTGCGATGATATCCTTTTTCATTAACAAATTCAATTCGGATTCCATGAACACCAATCTATTTTAGGCAATATGAAAGTACAAATTACCACTTATTATTAAACATCTGTATTTTCCAATGAGCGAAAAACAAAACAAAATTATTCTTGCAGATAATTACACTGGTCATAATAGATGGGATGGGATTATTAATTACATGGAAAATCATAAGCCAAACTCAGTAGACTAATCGAATCAGCTCGTACTACTTGTGGTCTAGAAAAGGTGTTTATCTATCAGACAGAGGGTATAACTACAATGCAGTACACTACTTAGTACCAAATGCGTGGTCCTTGAAATAATGGAACTTACGTACGTTGCGCATACTTGATCATAGGGATTTCTGACCCATTACTGATGTACAATGGAATAACTGAATGGCGAAAGTTAGGCTTAAAGTACGAGGTAAAAACGTCAAGAACAAGCGTTAGCAACAGCAAATGAAATCCAATATATACAGAACAGTCTACTAGTCATTTGAGGTGAGATACGTACAGCTCACTTTAGCTTAAGTCTTTGATAATGATTTCTAGAAAAACAATGGAAGTTTTGCGATTATACCACACAACTCAGTGAAGTAAATATCAAATTCATGAATAACGCTAAAAAATCATCAGTGATTGAGGTATGAATTCATGAAGCTATTAGCTACTGGTCGAAGTTATAGCAGTATGCGCAGACTTTCTGACTCAGCTCCGTGCAATAATTGCAATCACTTGTTGGATAACAGTGCAAAATCGATGTGGTAGTTCTACCTAGTTTTTGTCTTCCTTGAAATCTTGAATTAAATGCCATACCTTATTTTTTGGCCACATTGTCTCCTTTTGAAACTCATCATTCAAGTTTCAGAATTTGTTGTCGCCGAAACTAAGTTCTCTCCTGTGAAGTTCAATTTTCGTCAAACTATTTTAGAGTGTGGCAATTAGGATAGATGAATATTTTTGCTAGATTCTATGTTGTTTATAACTGACTGACATCACTCTTGATTATAGGAGTAATGGTTGGAAAGTGGGTATAAAGTTCCCAATAACTGAATCCCGATTCGGGAGTCCGACTCATTATTATCAAGCCGAGTGGCTGAGTAATATTAGCCCTAAAAAACGGCGAAACTAAAGATCTGATACACCGACCTATACATTGTTATGGAGTTGTGCTCACGTACATGGAATAAATTGAAATGTAGATAATGAAGCGTTGCATCGTGTATCTGTAAAAGATAACCCGGAGAAGCATGGTGGAAATAAAGGGACAGGTATTTAGGCATTACACAAAGCGTAACGAAAAGGATCAGTTGCTTGATGATTAAAGCAATTAACTTATAACAATTAGGTTGAAGCTTGAGACCTTTGTGTACTTACGTTTGATAAAATCGGTAACTTCAATTTTTACACTAATTATAAGACTTGATGAGCAAAAGGACTTAATCGAATACATTTGTTATTAGGAATACAAGTTACCGTCACTATATATATATATATATATATATATATATATATATATATATATACATATATATATTGACAAGGATGACGCTACTAAGAGCGATCTTGCGCGTGTACTATGTTTGGCCAAAATAAGAGGGTTTTTGTAAAAAAGGTGGCTGGAATACTTGGAGGGAAAGCAACCTATGCAATAACATCGTTTATATTTTCCATAAACTGACTTAGCACCTGTAACTCAGAAAAAGTCAAGACATATGGGGGTCTGTTCACATGCGACTGAATTGAAAAACCTAAGATATTGATTTTAACTCGTAAATATAAACCAACCTGCCAATCCTGATAGTTTTTCCCCTCTTCAAAATTTAAAAGCAAGGAAACTGAACATGTCAGATTAGGAAACTCTTCTTCTGTTATTGGTGAAAAGCGACTATCCTTGATGGCACTGAAAGAGTTGAAATATTAGAAAAACATAGATGAACCTGTTAATCGCATATTCACGAAGACCATTATGTATATTCATGGCAGTAAAAGTGCCTATGCATCCACGAAGTTTTTCCTCTTTTCCATACGTCCATGTCACGAAAAGCGGACTACAGGTAAATGAGTAAGAATTTGATTTACTAGGAGCTGTTTGGAAATGTCTTGGGGGCAGGAGGAGGTTCAATATTATGTAAATGGTTGTGAAGGACGTCAAAGCAAAAGTAACACATTTCACGTCTAACAACCCCAGGTGTGCTAAGGCCATTACGAGGAACGCATGGTCGTGATGTTGATTCTTCATCTAATCTTTGCTTTTTGGCTCCAAAGCAAGACGAAGGAGCTCTGGAACGAGCCATAAACACGACAGTCTAGACGTAGTGACCTAGGACACACAAACCACCCGCCGTCCTTCACCAGAAACAAAGGAGATGTACGTAATGTCATTCAAGTCTCAAAAACTTGTTGAGCAGTAAACCTTACTGATTATTTCTGGGAGTAAGAGTGCGTATTATGAGAAATCCTTAGTCTTAATAAAAATCTGAATGGCTGATTCAATAAACAATAGCTCTGTGATCAGCTAACATAAGCCTATTTATTTGTCTTCGGTCGTCTAGGGGAAAGCGTCTAAAATTTATGACCTGACAACGCGTGCCAAATAGTACTGATGTATTTGACGCGTAGCTGTAAGTTTTATTTCGCGGGTGGGTGACTTTTCTTCAAAGTATTAGGAACTTAATGGTAGTGAAATGATTCAAATGGTTCAAATGGTTGTGGACGGAATAGAAAAAGCTTTCGCTTAACAGGCTTCCGCGTCTAGTAGCAGGGGATCACCAATACCTCCAGGCAAGAACCTAGGTATATTAACGATAAAAGAGAAAAAAAAGAAATTTGTAAATCATAGTAAAGTACTATCCTTAGTCCTAAGAATAGATCAAGTCGCCTCTTAAAGGACTCCTGGGAAGTTGCTTGGACTAGCTCAGCTGGCAGCGAATTCCAGCATTTGACAACTCTTAAGGAGTAGAAGTTGTGTCTGCAGTCCGTTCTACTATGCTGTATTTCTAATTTCTGGGTGTTACCCCTTAGGTTAGTGTTGGGACTAAGCTTAAGTAGGTGTTTAAGAGGATGTCCAGGTGTGTTAAGGATACTGTAAGCCACTAGAAGGTCACCTCTAAGACGCCTATACTCCAATGGGTAAAGGTCGAGTGATTGGAGGCGTTCATCTTAAGGTTTAAATTTGAGTCTTCGAACTGATTTCGTGGCTCGCCGTTGGATACACTCCAGAGTGTCCTTATCCTTTTGGAGTGTAGGAGGGAATACTATGTTTCCACACTCTAAATGGGAACGAATGAAACTATTGAAGATTATCTGAAAAGTTCTCCCGTCAAACTGACCAAAAATGCGCTTCAATGTTACCAGTGCAATGTTTGCTCGAAAGGCATTTCTGTCATAGTTGGCGTAAGACTTTAAGTCGTAGGGCACCAGAACTCCTAAATCTTTTTCGACTCGGGATACTACTAGAGAGGAGTTTCCTAAGTTGTAACTGTAATCTGCGACGTGTCGCAGATGGACTACTTTACACTTTGAGGTGTTAAAGGTAAGTCCGTTATCGTCTGCCCAACTTTGAAGTCGAGTTAGATCCTCCTGAAGTGACTGTTTATCCTCTTGGTTGCGTATCTCTCTCAAAAGTTTCACGTCATCGGCAAAGAGCAATATGTCTGACGTTATCTGTTGAGGAAGATCATTTATATAAATCAGTTAGAGAAGTGGTCCTAGTACTGAGCCCTGAGGGACCCCACTAGGACATTCCATAGCGTGTGAGAAATTGAAGTTTACCCTGACCTTAAAATGTCGATTTATCAGATATGAACTGAGCCAGTCAATTAAAGGTGGTTTGATACCCAATTGTTTGAGCTTGTTAATAAGACATATGTGGTTAACCCTATCAAAAGCTTTAGAGAAATCAAGATAAATGATATCCACCTTCCCCTTGCGATCAACCATGCTTGTCCATCTGTCCACCGCAGTCAGCAGGTTCGCCATACAGGATTAATCCTTCCTGAAACCATGCTGTTGAGGTGAGAAGAAATTTAAGGACAGCAGATAGTCGTGTATACCATCGTATACCAGGGACTCAATGATCTTTGAAGGTATAGAGAGAAGAGCCACCGGTCGGTAACTTGAAAGTTCACTGAGTCCACCTCCCTTTAAGATTGGTGTGATATGAGCCAGCTTCCAAATATCCGGTAGTTTGCCTCGACTTAGCGAGTGTGAGAACATCACGCTAAGCGGTGTTGCCAGGATTGAAGCTGCTTCCCTCAGTATAGCAGAGTGGACCATATCTGGACCAGGAGAAGTGTCTGTTCTTAGGTGTTGTAGTTTACGGAACACCAAGTCAGCACTCAGTTTCACTACGGAAAGTCCTGTGCAGTTGCAGATAGAGCCGTCATTAGTATAGTTGATGTGGGACGGTTGAAATGTCCGGGAGTATTACTCAGCCAGAAGGTTAGGGGCGTCACCGTCATTATCGGTCGGGCTGTTAGAACCTAGCGGTTGAGAAACTCCAGTTTTGGCCTGACGAAGAGAGGCTGCGTAACGGAATAAGCTTTTCGGATTGGAAATAAATTTATCCATAAGCTTTAACTGGTACTGAAGCCTGTCTTCTCTTATAGCCTTCGTACATATGTTCCTTATATGTTTATATTGCCTGTAGTCGCCGTTGTTGTCGGTTCGTTTGTATTCTGCCCAACAGTGCTTTTTACGGCTTAACAAACGAAGTGTGCGGTTTTTGATGATTGTAGGTTGCATGTGGCTTTCGGGTAGCGTTTGAGGGACTGACTGCTTTGTAGCACATAAGAGCGTGTGTAATAGGAAGTTCCAGTGAGTAACCACATCAAGTTGAGGGTGAACATTCCAATCCACCTGTCGTAGATGTCCTGTAGAGCTGACACACCCAACCGTTTGAAATTCCAGCGCCTGTTGTAGTTGGAATATCTTAGCTCAGCTTTGCTGATGAAACTGAGGGCTATAACGGCGTGATCACTTTTCCCCAGGGGAGCCAGAATCGAGAGGTTGTCGACTAGAAATTCTTTATTTGTAAAAACACGGTCTAAGCGCGATGGTGTCTGACTGTTCCTCCAACGAGTAGCCAACTTCACATTTTCGTGTAGTCCCAAATCCTCAATGAGGTTGAAGAAGCGAGCTTCAATTGAATTTTCACCTCTAATATACGTATGTTCCGCGAAGTTGACTCTAGGGAGATTGAAGTCCCCTAGAATCAGGATATGAGTGAAACCGAGACGCGTAGAGCGGGATAGTCCTTCTAGCATGCGACTGTCATACTCGATGTCGGCAGTGGGCTTCCTATATATGACTCCGACCAGGCACCTCGAAGTAGTGGACAATCTCATAGAGCACCATGTGGATTCCTCAAGATTGTCAAACTCATGGTTGTGAACTTGGTGTACCCCCAAGCCAGATCGTATGTATAGGGCTACTCCACCCCCGATTCCTGTTTTTCTGTCATTGCGAAAGAGAGACATCCCAGGTATTGCTGGCTCCTGGTCCGAATACTGAGGAAATATCCAAGTTTCAGATATTCCTATCAGATGAACCTTATTAGCGTTGCTAAGTTCGCTTAGTTCATCCATTTTATTTGATAGACTCGCGGCGTTCATGTATAAGCAGTTAATGCTTTCAATTTGAAACACGTGAGCTTCTTCCTGTTTGTGTGTGAGAGCCTTACATGAGTGGACAGGTAACCCACTTATATAAGTTTTGTCGAATTGTTAGGCCCCGTCCTTTACACGATTTTTATCTTCAAGGCAGTCCACAAGTAGGATGGTCAGCTCCAGCTTGCCTTTAAGCTTGATCCTGGCGTCATATGGCCTGTCCGGGTGCATGTGGATCCCAGTTGGCAACCGACGTCTGTTGACGCGAAATGCTTCCAGAGCTGCAGCCGCCATATGGGAGGATGGAAAAGTTATTCTCACTAGTCGGGGTCTAGGATCCCCGTCCTCCTTGGCTATTCCCATCACATGCTGAGTCAGTATGTTTTTGAACCTCAAGGACTGTTTTGTGAAATTAATTTCCCGAATGTCAGAGTTTGCTTGACTAGGGTCCATATCTTCCGATACACCTTACTTACTTACTTACGCCTGTTACTCCTCGTGAAGGAGCATAGGCCGCTCACCAGCATTCTCCATCCAACCCTGTCCTGGGCAATCCTTTCCTGCTCTTTCCAGTTCTTATTCATCTTTTTCATATCTGCTTCTATTTCCCGACGTAATGTGTTCTTTGGCCTTCCTCTTTTCCGCTTCCCTTCAGGATTCCAAGTTAGCGCTTGTCTCGTAATGCAGTTTGATGATTTCCTCTATGTATGTCCTATCCATTTCCATCGTCTTTTCCTAATTTCCTCTTCAGCTGGAAGCTGGTTGGTTCTCTCCCACAAAAGGCTGTTGCTGATGGTATCCGGCCAATGGATGTTGAGTATCATGCGTAGACAGCTATTAATAAATACCTGTACCTTCTTGATAGTGGTTGTTGTAGTTCTCCAAGTTTCAGCTCCGTACAGTAGAACTGCCTTGACGTTCGTATTGAAGATTCTGACTTTGATATTGGTTGAAAGTTGTTTTGAGTTCCATATGTTCTTCAGTTGAAGGAATGCCACTCTAGCTTTGCCAATCCTCGCCTTGACGTCTGCATCTGAACCTCCTTGTTTATCGACGATGCTTCCCAGGTATGTGAAGGATTCCACGTCTTCCAGAGTTTCGCCATCAAGAGTGATTGGATTGCTGTTCTCCGTGTTGTGTTTGAGGACCTTGGTTTTCCCTTTGTGTATGTTGAGGCCTACTGATGCAGAGACTGCTGCTATGCTGGCTGTCTTTATCTGCATTTGTTCGTGTGTATGTGATAGGAGGGCTAGGTCATCTGCGAAGTCCAAGTCGTCTAATTGGTTCTGAGCTGTCCATCGTATGCCGTAGTTTCCCTCAGATGTCGAGGTCTTCATAATCCAGTCGACCACCAGAAGAAAGAGGAAGGGAGAGAGTAGACAGCCTTGTCTTACTCCGGTCCTTACTTGGAATGCGTCTGTCAGCTGTCCTCCATGCACTACTTTGCACTGTAGTCCGTCGTATGAGTTCCGGATAATGTTGACAATCTTCTCAGGAACTCCGTAGTGTCGAAGAAGTTTCCATAACGTCCTCCTATCTACACTGTCAAATGCCTTCTCATAATCAATGAAGTTGATGTAGAGTGACGAGTTCCACTCAATTGATTGTTCGACGATGATCCGTAGTGTCGCAATCTGGTCTGTGCACGACCGGTCCTTACGGAATCCAGCTTGTTGATCTCGAAGTTG